CACACACACACACACACACACACACACACACACACACACACACACACACACTCTCACACACACACACTGAATGCCTTTAATGTCAATTTTAAAACTCATTTCTGTGTGGATTTTACTTTAAAAAAACCTATTGGTTAAAGGCACAAAAAGATATTAATTTTTAGTTTCCAAGGATTTTGAAGTTTTGAAAGTCACCAAACTGGCGCCTGATTCCACTACGTCTTGGGGCAAATTATGTCGACATGTTCTTTAACACTTTGCAGTCAAACAGCTAGCTCTAGCTGTACAAAATACCCCGTCTGGTCACCCAGCCAGGAGAGCGACTGCAACAGACTTCTCGGGCCAGGGGCAAACTGCTCTAGGTGATCGCAACAGACAATTTTCACAGGCGCATTATTGCGCCAAGTGACTGCAAAGTGTTAAACATTTCCAATCATTTTCTACAACTAAAGCACTTTTGTGTGGTTTTTCTCACAGTTTCTACCCGGAACCCGTAGACGCGTACGGCACACCTCTGGCGCCGCCAGGTGGCGCTGCTGTCCCCATGGTTGCCCCTCTTGGCCCCTCAGGTTTCCCCGGACAAGCTGCCATGGGCGGCGACCCGGCGGTGGCCTTTGACCTCGTTCCTCAGGAGATCAGCTACAACCCGGGCTCTGTGCTACACGGATTTGACGGTGAGTCCACGGGTTTGATTCTTCTCTGCTGTTGCTGGAATTATTATTGTTATTGTTATTATCATTGTTATTGTTATTGTTATTATTGTTATTGTTATAGTTGTTGCTATTACTATTATCATTACTATTTGTTGTTTTTTAAATTATTATTATAATTATTATAGTTGTTTTTGTTATTATTTTAATTGTTGTTATTGCTGGTAGTCTTTTTTGGTGTTTATTAATGAAAAAGTCGTAATCCTTTTTTTTCTTTCCTTCCTTCATTCCTTCGTGCAGCTGTGTCAGGAGGAACCGGAGGAGGAGGAGGGATGGTCGCGGGGTCGGGGGCAGGGGCGGGCTACCCCGTGGGCAGTCAGATGTACTTCCCGTCCGGCCCGGCCCAGGTCTCGCACTACGGTCCTGGACGTATGTACCTGCCGGCCGGCGCGGGTCACAGGGGTCAACACCCAGCCCGGATCTACTACCCCGCCCAGCACTCCATACCCATGCCCGCTCCAGGTGAGAGAACTGATACACACATGGTTTAGAGTAGGGGGCCCAAATCAGTTGTGTGACGTTGTGTTGAAATCAGGCGCTCGTCGAAATAATCCGAGAAATTGGCATTTTTCGGCCAGTTAGGAAATTTTTTTCAAATTTTTGTATTTTGGTTCAACACCTTGTATATCCATTAAAAACACTTTAATGTGTGGATTTTATGGAAAAATATTAATTAAAGGCACAAAAAATTAAAATTTGCTGTTCCCAAGGATTCTTAAGCTATGGAAGTCCTCAAACTTTGGCAACCATTTTCTCACTACTCACAAATTTTACTTCTGAAACCAGGCAACCCTCACCTCCTTCAATTGCAATTATCTCGACTTCTGTTCAAGATATATGGATGTCTTTTTCCTTGAAAAATAGAAAAATGGACATGCTTTAAGGTGATACCAATAACTCCACGTGCTCAAAAGTTAACAAGCGCTTGATTGCACCTTGCCGTGACACAAATTATTTTCAGGTAGCGAGCGAGCCAAATTACATAAACAGTGATTAAGCAGTTGAAAAACTAAACCTGTTTTTAAAATAATGATATGAATTAAAACAGACAAGAGATAAAGCAACAACTAAATCTATAATATATATATATATATATCAAGGCTCATCAATTTTCACTCTCAATTTGCGAATTTGTCAATTTGTCAAAGCTAGGTATTTGTGAGGTGTGCTGACAAAATGAGTTATCCCACGATCCAAGAATGGAGGTATCGGCTGAAAATCCACACTGGGTCAGATTTTTGGATTTTCAATTGATGCCATTTTGTTAAAGTTTACTGTGTCTTTTACTATTCCATGCTCACAAATTGTACAAACTTCACCTATCAAGTTGATGTATCAATTTCCATACGGCTGAAATCCGACAAATAACTCCTTTTGTCAGCACACCTCACATTTGGTATTGTTTCTTGGCTACAGGTTGGTTTAAGTTTGGAGTAAGGTTCTGTACTATTGTGATTCTGAGGCTTGAACTATCTAAAATTCTCTTGCAGACTTGAGTTTGAAATCATAACCGGGATGTATTTGTCAAGTGTGTGTGTGTGTGTGTGTGTGTGTGTGCGTGCCTGTGCATGTGTGTGTGTGTGGGTTCATGTGTGCGTGCTTGCTTTCATGAGTGCATGCATATGTGTTTTCTGTCCTGACTTAAAATAATCTAGTGCAGCGTCTAAATGACATCCTGTCTGTTTGCTCTTTCACTCACCAGGCGGTGCCCCGCCCCCTCCACCCCCCGGGGGCCCCGCCCAACTCATCAACATGGGACACAGGTCCGCCCCCATGACTCCCATAGCCTCTGGCACGCCTGTCAAAGGCGGAGCTCCGCCCACCGGCTATTACGACGGCTCCTTCATGATGGCTCCGCCCAGCCCCATACGTGAGTGCTTTCTAATTGGCTTTTAGTGTTACTTTAGTGTTACTTCCATAGATTTTTTAGTGTTACTTCCATAGATTTTTTAGTGTTACTTCCTTAGATTTTTTAGTGTTACTTCCATAGATTTTTTAGTGTTACTTCCTTAGATTTTTTAGTGTTACTTCCATAGATTTTTTAGTGTTACTTCCATAGATTTTTTAGTGTTACTTCCATAGATTTGAATTATGGCCTCAACCGTTTGCTCTTTATACATAGACTTGAAGTATGGTATTATATTAGACTTTACCATCGTTGTATCCTTCCATTGCTTATTCCATCTAGCCACCCTTCCTTCCCTCAATGTGTCTTTCCGTCCATCTATCAAAACGTCCACTTTTCCATCCATCCATTCAGCAGTTCGTCCACCCTCACCCATCCATCCATCCATCCATCCACCCTTTCATTCATCCACCCATCCCTTCACCCATCCACACTTCCACCCATCCTTCCATCCACCTATCCATCCGCCTATCCATACATCTACCCATCCATCCATCCATCCATCCATCCTCACATCCACCCGTCCATGCAGTCATTCATTCATTCATTCACATTTAGAAAGCGATAGATAGAGACAGAGAAAGGTAGGGAAAGACAAAGACGAGAGATAGAGAGAGAGAGATGAAAACAGAAGAGGGAGAATTGGAAGGTGAGAGAGAAAGAGAGAGAGAGAGAGAAGGGGGGGGGTAAATGAAGAGGGAAGATACTGACAGACATACAAACAGACCGACAGACAGACGCCAGGCAGGCAGACTGACAGACACACAGACACACAGACAGACATACAGACACAAAGACGTCAGGCAGACAGACAGACACATAGACACACACACAGACAAACACACAGACAGAGAGACAGACACACAGACAGACAGACACACAGACAGACGCACAAACATCATACAGACAGACAGATACACAGACAGACAGACAAACACACAGACAGACCGACACCCAGACGTCAGGCTGGCAGACAGACAGACACACCGTCACACAAACATACAAACAGACAGACAGACACATAGACAGACACATAGACAGACAGACAGACAGACAGCTGGAACAACCCGTGTCCAGTGTCCGTCCAACCCTCCAGTCTGCGCCATGACCACACAGCC